ATCCATTAAACCATTGGAGATGTTTCAAGATATTTTGAAGTGGTACGAAGGCTTTCCGTATAAAATTTTGGGTTTTTTTTTTTTTTTTTTTTTATCTTCCTCATTGTCGACGTATTTTTGCTTGTCTGAAGTCGAACAAGGCTGTCTGCCCAACAACATGTGCCCCCAAGAACATACAGAATGTGGCACTTACAGTGTCGTTTCCATTAGTTCACTGGAAACCATTTCTTCATCACCATCAGAATGTGGCAACCTTAACTTTGTCCAACTGTCACTATTTTTCATTATCCATTATCTTCCATATTTCTTGAAAGGGCAAAGAACAAAGGCGATCCACTAAAGGAGTGTAATACAAAAGGCCAACAGAAATTCCAATTAATCGGTCGATACTCATTGAAAAAGCTCAGGCAATGACACTAGTCCACACACCTCCGTACTACGACAGAGGACCAGAAGTGAAAAGGTGCAATTTGGTTGCTTGCCTTGCACAAGCCCGTTCAAGGAACCCTTAACAAAACTAGGCTTACTCGCTGAAACAATAAGAATTGTAGAATTTTTGATAAAAGTTAATGTGTAGTTAAAAAATTGTGGATCTCATGAAATGTGTAATTAAAATTAATTATTGAATTGAATTCTAAACCTTTTTAGCTAACTCAAACAAGGGGCTCAATATCATAATAGTTGTTAAGCCTCCAAAAAGCTGAAGCACAAGAAGCTTTGATGATAGTGGTAGTGGCGGTTATGGTGGCGTGGAAGGGAGAGAAGAAGGGGTAGGGTGGTGGTGGAAGGGAGTCGGTTGGGATTTGGGAAGATAAATTTTCTTTCCCTTCTTTATTAAATTTCTAATTATTTCAAGTGAAGCCCATTTTGAACTTTTTAAAAAGATTTGAGAATCTGGCTACAAATTTTTATTTTTTTTTATTTATCCTTTATTCTTTTTGTTTATTTAAAAAATGATAAATTTGTCATTTTACAAGGTTTTAACGGTAGAAATGGATGACAGAGACTTTTCGCACAAAGAAATGTCGCGTAGTGGAGAGCAAAGCACAAGGAGAAGATCAGCAAGAAATTACTGAGGTACAAGCAGTTTGTTCATCTTATGTGGAAGAGCAGCAAATCAGAATGCTCACATGGGGTGGGTCCCATGTGAGTAAAATATTGAAAGAAAAAACCCCCCACCCTGCTGTGAGATCTGTTTTTCTTCTGAGAAGCAGCAGCGTGCTAATTACTTTTTTTTTTTTTGAAGAAAGCGTGCTAATTACTTGTTAAATAAAAAAAACTCCGAATAAGAGATTGAATTCTTCATCAAGATGTCAACTCCAGGTGACATTTTATGAAATTATTAACAGATACGAGGGCTTGTGTTGCACTGTTTATGAAAAATCTTTGTTAGTTGTTAGTATTACTAATATGCTATAATGATATATTTAAGCATGTTTGGCTAAACTTAAAATCCAATTAAAATTAAAATTATAGTCGTTACTGGGTCTCACTCGTCTAATAAAAGGCAACAATAACAGCTAGTTTTCAATTTTAATCCCTACCGAACACGCCCGCACGTTAGCTTTTGCACGAGTAAGGAAGAGACGCGTGTGAAATGTTTGTTTATTATGTGTCTAGTCAAGCGTACTGCGTACACACATTTTCTAAATGTCTTCTAAGACTAGTATAGTACCCCAAAAAAACTTGGATTGCACCTTGAGAAGTGAAGAACTCTTCAGAAAAACGGTGGCACAGTGTTCACGAAGCCCCCTCATAGTCATGGAGATTGTGGAACTCAGCTACTTTTTAACTCATATGAAAGCAAAGAATGACTCTAGTAGGGATTGCAATGGGGCCGAGGCAGCCATTATGCCCATTACTATCCTTGCCAAGTCGGGGATTTTCGAGATTTTGGATGGGGACGGGTGGGAGGGGGGATTTTTTTGGGCACAATTAGGGAGGTGGGACGAGGGATCAGGCCGGACGAGGAAGAAGATGAAATTGTAGAAGAATTGTAAGGGTAGTTTGGGTTTCTAAAGAATATAAAGTTGTTTATTAAAAAGTACAGCACGTGTGTGGAAAAATGATGAAGTGATTTGCTTTGGCAGTTGGCACTGGTTAAGAATAATATTAAATGATAACTCAAGTAATCATGACATGTTCTGCTGTCTTCTGCATATACCTAAAGAGTTTCCATTAATAAAAGTGACGTGATCTCAATAGAACAAATTAGAAGAAGCCACAAGGAGTGATAGATGTAAATTAAAATAGCAATGAACCAAACACTAGCTAAAGATAAATATTCAAAAGGAACATAGAACCAACAAATAACCAATTTATATCATGCCCTCGTCTTTGGTTCAGCTAAAAAAGTTGATAAAAATTTAAGTGAACAATTAATTTTATTCGGACATTTCATGGACATGCAATTTTTATTGACTATTCAACTTTGCGTGAGACGCAATTTTTTATCCTATAATATGTTTTATACACAATCTTAAAGCATCCAATGAAATAGTGTCCAGACAACACAAACAGATATCAACTTATCCCCATACTATTACAGACTTTAATGTTGTCTTAAAGGAAACTCGATACAACAACGTTATAAGCATGAGGCAAACTAACCTTATATTACAGGATTAACTTCGCCACCATAATCTGCCTCTCCATTTCAACAGCATAACATCAAGATGGATCGAAGAACACACAATTTTCTGAATGAAATTCAACTGTCAATGCATTTGAAACCGCGGCAAACCCACAACCAAACGATGAACAGGATAGCACAAATGAACAAATCTAGCGATAAAATAACCCAAACTTGCTTTTTCCAGACAGTCTTTGCCTTGTGTTGTCCCATTAATTCTCCAGAGTACAACCCATTTTTTTGCATTACAATTGAATATTCCCGGCTCAATCCGATTCCCTCTCCTCCTTCATGATCATCATCGTCGTCCTTATTGAGCTTCTTCTCGAAATGTCGTCTCCCCTTTACCCCTCTGCCACCACCCGTTTTGAATTCACCAAATAGCCTCTTTCCAAAATCCCCATTTGATCTTCCCCTCAGAGAACCTGAATCGGAACATAGAACCCCGCTTTGGACTAATCGCCGTCCGACCGGTGAACCCGGGCTGTCCATTTCTGGCCCAGGACCTACCAATTGATGAAAAACCGGACTAAATTCACCCTGAAAACAATGGGAAGTCAAACGTTCCAATTTCCTTTTCCCCAAGTCCCCACTATAAACCACATCAAAAGCTTCCTTCACGCTCCTCAGAAATGCCAACCCCTCAAAATTCTCCATATTTTCGTCGAAAATCGCGAAATAAGCAAAAGGATCGTGGATCAGGAAGGTGTAGGTTTGACGCCTAACGGTGTGAGTGAAGGTGGAATGAAACGGTGGCGTTTTCTCCAGGCATTTTGCAGCGATTGAACCGAGGCTTTCATCCCTGGAATTGAATTCAGCGAGGACCGTAGTTCCCTTTGCAATGCAGGCATAGTGTACCAGATCCGGATCAGGAACCATCATCAAATCCTACCCGATACAGAAATCTTATCAATACCCGACCCAGAAAATCCTACTCTTCTTCTCCGTCTCTCTATGAGCAATACAACAAACAGGTCGTGGTATCATTACAAAAACTGTATTTCAGATATAGTGTATCTCATATTTAGGATAATGTTAAAAACGCATAGATTTGATGAGTTTTTTAGGGTTTGGAAGATGTGCCTTTAGCCATGGAGGGGAGACAGAGAGGGGGGGTGGGGGAAGAGGGGGAATTGACTTGACTCCTCAAAACAATCAAAAATCTCCACCATTATATGCAAATATTGACTTATCTCCTTTTCTTTTCTTTCAATAATTAATTAATGATATTAATATTTTAGGTTTCCTTTGGCAAAATTTATCATTTATAAAAGGTCAATTTCATTTTTAACTACATATTTTAATGAATCCACAAATATTATTCACTTATCCAACATTTATTTTTATATATTTAAAAATTGAATTATCTATAAGTTCTTCCCAAACATAGGCTTATAAATATATGTATTTAAGTCTCGAGTGATAGTTAATAACCGCTACGAAGAGCTCCCATTTAGCTAAAACTTAAGACCAGCAAACCTTCCTCCATAGCACCCTACAAAAATAAAACATCCTAATAGTATGTGGTGTAATCCTTTAAAGATTAAGATACATGTGGATTATTCATGATCTGACGGACCTAGGATCCTAATGGACTTAGGAAGATTGAGATGAGTGCAATTAGATAAGGATAGTTGTAAGCACGCGGCTCAATATGCTAAGCAAAGTTGTTGGCCTCAGTTGGGAACGGGACACAAAATGGGATAGCTTTTGTCGAAAAGTAGATTTATGCACCTTGGACTTCTTGGATAGCTAGATGAACATCCATAGTCAAGCTGGTAGGCAACTTCCAACAACTTGTAAGATGCTAGCAAGGTTTAGATACCAAATCCTAGACACAATCTTCCTAGAGATGGAGAGCCCATTGCTAATCTCCCCATCTTCTTTCTCGGCTAGCTCTTTCCTACTAGCCTTAGGGGGAGCCCTCACTCATCAACCTAAAAAGAGGAAAAAGTCATCTTGAAGATGAAGACAGACGGAGGATGGAATAAGGTAAAATTGTCCTAGTAAAATTGTATGTTTGAGTTGTAATAGGATTATTCTTCTTTTTATGAGTAGTAGGCCTCGCCCTATGACTTCGTCGGTGGCTAAGTTTATAGAGTCAGGTCTGTAAAGCCCTGAAATCTATGTCCCGAAGATTACTCAATTAATTCCTTTAATCATTATAAAAGTTGATTGACGCATTGTAAAAAAAATGTAGAATAACATAAGCTACTTTGTTGTCTCATAAAACATCTAAGAAATTCAATCCATTGATGAAATATAAATTCATCGATTTTGAAAATAAAATTATGATTTCAAAATAATTTTAAACTAAATGCAAAATATTGAAAGAAAATAAAATTCTTGATCCAACGACATGGACTATGTCAGCAGTTTTAACCTCCAACCCCAATCAATCAAACATTTGAAAAAAAAAAAAATTAATATGGAATGAGCATACGAATACACTCAGTATAGATTTCATATCAGTATTTTCACAATCTAATATAAAAAAATAAGTAAATTACACACATAATATAACTTTTTCTAGTGGGATAGAAACCTGACCGTCTCATTCTCACTTAGGTCATACCCATTCTCAATCTCTACTTAGAGTATTTAGTCATATGGCTAGTTTTGTTTTGATCTACATAATAATACCATATAGTATAATCCACAAAATTCTTATTTAATTGGGATCACATAATAGCACATAAAATACTTAACTTAAAATATTAAAAAGTGAAAATACAAAACCTCTTGACATTTAGAGAAATCCATACATAATCCGTCAAATTGCTTGTATACTTGAGTTACTTAAGACTGAAAATTCTTGTGAATGTATCTCGAACGCATTCGAAAACTTTTCTTTTTTTTGTCTCTCTCTCTCTCTCTCTCTCTCTCTCTCTCTCTCTATTTCACATTTTCTTCTTTCTTTTCTTTCTCTGTTTTTTTTTTCTCTCTTAATTTGCGTGAATTAAAATGCAACAACGAGAGGGTATTTATAGGTGTGATTTGATAAGGATAATTACATAATGAGAATTCTAATAGAACTCTTAATTCGAATTTGGATTTATCTTAGATGAAACAAACTTATCATGAAATTCAAAATTTTAAAAAATATAACTACATGATGATAAGATTCTAGTGTGGATATGAGCAAATTTCAATTTTTTTTATCTAAATAATTTTTATTGGATAATTAGATAATAATTTAATAGATATCCAAAATAATATTAAAATTTAAGTTCATGTAAAAGTCATATATATCGAACTATTAGGAATATTAACACAAGGTCCTTAGAAAATGGTAATATTGTTAGGTTACCCTAAAATCTCAAAACTTGCATTTATGCCTCATAAAAAAATTGTGCATATTATTTATTTATTTATTATTATTATTATTATTATTATTTGGGTATTACATCCTCCCCTCCTAAAAAAAATTCGTCCTCGAGATTTACCTTGGTTATCAAAAACTTATGGGTATTTAGCTTTAATATCTGCCTCATGCTCTCAGGTGGACTCCTTAACCGTGTGATTCCGCCACTGAACTTTCACTAATGGAATTTCTCTATTTCGAAGCATTCGAATCTTTCTATCCAAAATGACTACTGGAGATTCCTTGTAAGTTAGATCTAGATGAATGTCTAACGAATGAGGATTAATCACGTGGCTGGGATCTAATATATATTTTCGAAGCATAGATACATGGAAGACATTGTGTACTACTGAAAGTTCAGGAGGCAATGCCAGCTCATAAGCCACAGTTTCCACACTTTTCAGAATCTCAAAAGGTCCTATATTTCTTGGTTGGAGCTTTTCTCCTTTTACCAAATCAAATAACTTCGTTCATAGAAGCTATGTTTAGGAAAATTTTGTCACCAACCTCGAATTTGAGATCCTTCCTCCTATTATTAGTATAAATTTTCTGTCGATCTTGGGCAGTCATTATTCTAGCCCAAATCTTCTTAATAGTTTGAACTGTTCGCTCAATAATCTCAGGTCCTAGAATTCTTCGTTCATCAACTTCATCCCAATGAGATGGAGATCTGCACTTTCTACCATATAAAGCCTCATGAGGGGTCATTCCTATGGTAGTCTGATAGCTATTATTATAGGCAAATTCTACCAATGATAGATATTTTCCCAAATTCCTCCAAGATCTAGGACACGTGCTCGAAGCATGTCCTCAAGAATTTGAATAGTCCTCTCCCATTGACCAACTGATTGTGGGTGGAAAGTTGTACTGAAGTTTAGCTTAGTCCTCATTACCTTGTGAATACTTTTCCAAAATTTTGAAGTAAATCTCGGATCTCTGTCTGATACAATAAAGACTGGGGTCCTATGTAATCTGATCACTTCTCTAACATATAGTTGAGCCAATTGATCCATATTAAAAGTCATCTTTAGTGGTAAGAAGTGAGCTGACTTTGTCAATCTATCGACAATAACCCATATTGCATCATTTCATCTATTTGATTTTGGAAACCCTACTACAAAATCTATGGAGATGTGCTCCTATTTCCATTCAGGAATCTCTAGTGGATTTAATAATCTTGATGGCATTTGATGTTCTGCTTTTACTTTCTGGCAAACCATGTACTTCTCTACGAATAGACCTATTCATCTTTTCATATTCCACCACCAAAATATGCTTTGAAAGTCTTTATACATTTTTGTGCCCCCAGGGTGTGCTGCATATGGGGCGAAGTGAGTTTCTTCTAATATTTCATTTCGTATATTCTCATCTTTCGGTACACACAATCTTTCTTTAAACATCAAGGTATTATTTGCAGCTAACTCAAAACTCTTTCGTTTGCCTGTGCCAACTTCACTTTTAATCTTTTGCAAAAATGGATCACTATCTTAGGTTCTCTTAATTTGATCTCGAATAGTGGGTTGAACTGTGAGGGTAGCAATTCGTGCTTCAATATTTACTGAAGATGAAAGCACCTCAAGTTGCAAGTAATTTATATCTCTGATCAAAGATTTCTGTATTGTGGGTAAAGCTGCCAGATGTCATGTTGTCTTCCTACTTAATGCGTCAGCAACTGCATTAGCCTTTCCTGGATGGTAATGAATGGCACAATTATAATCTTTCACCAATTCTAGTCATCTACGTTGTCTCATGTTCAATTCCTTCTGGGTGAAGTACTTTAGAGTCTTGTGGTCCGTATAAATATTGCACTTAGTTCCATAGAGATAGTGTCGCCATATCTTTAGTGCATGAACTACTGCTGCTAACTCCATGTCATGCGTTGGGTAGTTTTCTTCATACGATTTTAGTTGTCTGGAAGCATATGTGATAACTTTACCATGTTGCATAAGTACGCATCCCAGACCCTACTTAGATGCATCGATGTAGATAACAAAGCCTTGTGACCCTTTGGGTATGGTCAAAACTGGAGTTGAGGTCAATTTCTGTTTTAGTTCCTGAAAGCTCTGTTCACACTTATTTGTACATTGGAACTTCATGTTCTTTCTCTTTAGTTGAGTCATTGGAATGGTAATCTTTGAAAACCCTTCAATGAATCTCCTATAATAACCTGCTAATCCTAAGAAGCTGTGCACTTCTCTAACATTATTTGGCCGAGTCCAATTCGTGATTGCTTCCACTTTACCTGGGTCAACTTCAGTTCCTTGGGCTGTGATTACGTGACCTAGAAATCCCACTCTATTGAGCCAAAATACGCACTTTTTGAATTTGGCATAGAGCTTCTCCTTTCTTAGTATTTCAAGAATAATCCTTAGGTGTTCCGTATGTTCATGCTCACTCTTTGAATAGATTAGTATATCGTCAATGAAGACAATAACAAATTGATCCAAATAGTTGTGGAAAACTCGATTCATGAGATCCATGAATACTGCTGGTGCATTTGTCAAGCCACAAGGCA